CCTCGAAGGACAGAAGGTCAGTACTGGAGGGGAAGACCCTGGATAAGATGGATTGAAATAGTGACTGTGGCAATGGGGGCTGGTACATCAGAGACAGTGAGATTAGCTCAAGATAGGGTAGGATTCAGAGCCATTGTTCAGAGTTAACGAGTTCCTTTTTTTGGTCCACTTTTTTAATTAATTTTGATGAAAGTTTACAGAGACATTGGATTTCCATTCATTCATTATTGCACTTTTCTCCCTGCACAACCTCCCCCCCCCCCCCACACCCAGCTCTTCTCTTTGAAAAGTAAAAGAAAAATTCTTTTATTGTTATATAATCCCTCCCCCCAAGTCTACTCCACTAAGCAGCCTTCATTCTGGACTCCTGTCATGACAATAATACCTAATCATATATCCCTTTTAAACAGTTCTCTCCCTCATCTGTTTCAATGCAAAATTAATCCCATCTTTCTCAGTCTCCCCCCAACCCTGATGTCAGTCCCATTTTACAACGTGGCACTATGCAGTGTTTGTTCTTTTGTGACTGAGATATTTCACTCAGCATAATGTCCTCCAGGGTCACCCATTTTGAATAATATTGCATGAGTTCCTTGTTTTTCAATGCCGCATAGTATTCCACTGTGTGAATATACCCCAGCTTCTCTATCCATTCGTTTCTTGATGGGCATTTAGGTTGTTTCCAACTCTGCTATTGTGAACAAAGCTGTGATAAACATAGGTGTGCAAACAATGAGTTCTTGAGCACTCATTATGTTCCAGGAAACTGTCAGATTAGTATGGACTACATTTGCTATATTCTTGAAAATCTACAACCCAGTAGACACATAATTGCATTTTACACGAAAGTCAAGAAGATAAAGCCTGGAATGCAAGTTCATCAAGATGACAAACCAAGACTCTAGCTTTGCAGTCAGAACCCCTGGCCACTAGCCACTGTTTCTCTTTAAATCTAGATCCAGAACATTCAGATTCTTCCATTTGACCCTTAGGATTGGGATCTTGGAATCAGTCTTTTGTTTGGGGCTGTGTCTGGGGTGGAAAGTAGCCAGTTTGTCCCAAGGGAGGAACTGGGCAGAATGGGAGGCCAGGTGCCAGGGCAGCAGTAAGTGGTGGAGGAGGGGCAGAGGAAGGAGCTGCCCCTTCCTCTCCAAACAGAGTGCCTGCTTTGAGCCAGATTACTCTCCAGAGCTCAGTCACTGCTAGGGTTTGGATCTGATCAGGCTGAATGAAGCTAAGCAGGTCACTAGACTAGTTTTAACCTGTCCCTTCCTCTGTAAAATAAAGATGGCCAGAGCTCCCACCCCCTAGATGGCCCGGGGGCTCAGTGAGCTCCTAAATGAGGCCCACAGTTAGTACCTGGCCCCCAGGCCTGCTAGGAGGTCTAGTGGGAATTGTCCATAGGGTATATACCCTGCCAACCAAAAAGCCATGCCTCTTCGCTGGTTCAAATTCATCAGCAGCTCCAAGGGAAAAAGATGGGCAGTCTCCTTCCATGTAACTTAACAACCTTGGAAACCTAATGGAAGGTCAGAGATGAGTCCCTTTCAACCTGACAACAATGAGTTCCATGGCCTGCAAACCATCAGCCTCACAGACAAAGGTTGCTGCCTCTTTTATGCCTTTGGGTTTTATGCCTTCGGGGTGATTTAAGCACATAGTAAAAGCTTAGAGCAGCAATGAACAGGAGCTTAAGGTCATGCCCTTGTTTGACCGG